GTGTCTTATCTTATATTTAAGTCTGTAAGCCATTTTGAGGCTTTTTTGTGTATGATATGAGGGAGAGTTCTTCATTGGTTTACATGTAGAGAGCATTCATTTCAAAAGTATTGGGCATCAGAAGAACCAAAGGAAAAGAAGACCATTGAGTTAGCATTCCTGGTCTTTAATCAGGTTCATTCTCACTAAACTAAATTAATTTTTCAGCCCTCCCCCTCATCCTTCCATGTAAGTTCTGCCTTTGGTACATTCCTGCCTCTGTGACTTTGAACTTGTGCTTTCCCTCACCTGGAGTGAGATCTCTTCTCCCTACCGTCTTCTACATCTCAGTCAGTTCCCATCTGATCTGTAAAGCCTCCTAGACAAATTCAACACTGTGTAGTTTCCCATTTATCTAAAGTCTTATGGCTATTACTGTTTTCATGAAGCAAGGTAAAGATATGGAGGGTTCACAAATCAGGTGGGAATCAAACTGTGACCCAGAATATAAAGAGCAGAAAGGAGCATTTGTTATTGCAAGGAGCAGAGACCCACTCAATTAGCTTAAAATAAGGAGAATGTATTGTAAACCTACAGTGTCCAGGAAATAGGCTTTGCAGGGGCTGAGCTGGAACCTGTCAGAAGCCTAGACAGCTCTTCCTCTCTCTCCAACTCTCAGGATCATACAGTACCCCTCTGACTCTCACCGAGGAATATCTACTTTCACATTCTTCTCTTTTCTCTCTCCCAAATTTCTCTACTTTAACATTTCAGTTTTCTTTTGTCTCAACTATCCCAAAATACCTGAATTAAACTTTTGGGATCTTAATTCCAAATGTCCAGAGAGATTTGGCTATCTTATCTTGTGCTCTATACCCAGTCCTCCGTTTAATCAATGTGGTTGGCAGGGGCAGTAATTTTTAGTACAAACAGCTGCCTAAGCCCATTCCTGTGCAGCCTGTAGATAAAGTTTCAGGGAAGGGGGAAATGAGTAGGCACTCCAAAAGATATCCACTACCTGCAGGGTTGTATTATTCCTTCAAGGCAAATTCCTTCAGAGCAAGGGATACGTTACTAGCTGCTTACTTCCATTACTATGTTAAGCACAGTGCTATTCAACTACCACAGAGATTCATAACCCTTGCTGCACAGTAAAATCACCTGGGGAACTTTCAGAAGCATTTCCGTGTCCAGTCCTCCCCCTTGCCACCACCAGAGATTCTGATTTCATTTTGGAGTGATACGGCCCACACATAAGACACCAAGAGTTGCTGTGTTTTCCAGATGCCAGGCTTATTTTTATTGAGGTCAGGGCTATAGGAAAACGTTATTTCTGTAGATGAAAAAGTGATTATCTTCATAGCTAAAAGCATGGTGGAAATTCAAGAGCTGTTAAATAGCTTAAAATTCTTGCTTGGCCTAGGAAATAAGGTGTAGATTATATTCATGTTGTCTCAGGTAGGGTGAATACCAGTGATATTGATAACTTTAGAAAAGGACATAAAACAATTTCAATTTTACATTTTTAATTTCCCCCATTCTTGTAATTAATTTCATTAAATATAGTAGTCAGTGGTTATTTCTGCAAGGTTTTTTGATTATCTAATCAATATGCCCACAAAATGCAGCCCTATTCCTGTATTCTTTGGAAACAAGTTCTCATATAACTAGGAAAACGTAAGATTTAATAGTAAATTCTGAATTTATGACAATTCAGAGTGCCACTTGGATGATAATTGTTTTAATTTATTTTTTTCAGTTGGTAACTCTGAAATTGATATTTGATAAATTTGAACTGAGTCAAGTTTGCCTCAAGAATTGTAAGGAGCTGGTTCATTGTAGGCACTATATAGAGAAGCTCTTCCAGCATACTCTTTACAGTATCCTTAGGATTGCTAAGGTTTGCCCAAGGCTTTAGAACCATAGTTGTGATGACTAGTTGGAGAATTCCTTGGGAATAGTTTCTGGAGTTCTTCAGTATGATCAGTGAAACCAAGCGGATAGTCCAAGTTTTCAAATAAATTGGCTCAATTATTGCTTTCTGAGGGATAACTTTGTCTTTCCTGCCAATTGCCTCTGAGACCACTCTGGGACATTTGCTAACAACTTCTGGAAGTCAAGCCACCTCAATCTTATAAACATGTTGGGCATTGATTTCTGTATAGAATGTGATTCATGGGTTTTTACATTTCCTACACCAATTTCCTTCTCTAAGAGGGAGCCATTTTGTCCAGTTCATCTTCAGTACTCCTAAGGAAGGCATGGTAACATTGACCTCTTTAGCAAAGAGTCTAAAGGGAGAATACTGTGGAAGATATCTTCACCAATTTTTAATCAAGCATAATCAGACTCAGTTTCCTTCTTGTGTTACAGCATAGACCAATGCAGTACTGACACTTCATGATCCCAGAGCATCTTGTCCTGGACTTTCTGGATGTGAGGATCCCTTCATGGAATTACCCTTGTACACCCAATGGTCAGTAATGTGAATTGTGATGCTAGTTCTTAAGCTTCATTTGGGGGTGATGTGATTGGTTTACCCTTTTCCTTGTGAGATATCAGCTTTGCCTGGAAAGGGGCAGAGATGCCACTCTTGCAGGATAAACAGGTATTGGTGCGTCTGCACTGAGTGGCATGTACTGTAGGGTACAAATTTCTGTGCAGCAGATCCTGGTGACCAGCTTGGCAGGAAAGCTGTGCTTGATTGATGGGCACAGCAGTTAAACAAGAAGCGTGTCCTTACTTGCTATGGACTCTACAATCTTGTCTATACTGCAAGGTTGATTCTAGGACCTTTGCATATGTCAGATTTGATCCCAACTCAGATAGTCCAAAGAGAAGTCATTAAAGGTTTCATTGTAAACTCTTTCTATACTACTACTCTGCTATACATTGTCAGACTGGTCCCTTGAGTTGTAAAGCCCATAGATGGCACAACTCAGCACTATGAACATTTTGCTAGTTCTGTGCTGAAAACCTAAATTTGAAAAATTTGACCATCACTGATGAGGAGTATATTTCTATTATCTCACAAGACTGTCAGGTATGCTTATGAAGTGGGAACAAAATAGTTGAATGTAAGTTATAGTGTGAACTCCACAAAATTTCAGAACAAAATGCTTTTTCTTTTAAGGACTTTTGATTTTGTTATGAATTCTTGTTATCATGGCTTCACAGGAAGCAAACTTCTGAGTAGAAAATTTTCAGTGTGCCCCATGAACAACATTTTAAATGCAGGGCATTATGATGGAGGTTTGAGTCAGGTGTTTTCCAGAATTACTTGTTGTCCAGCTTAATTTTGAAGAGGAACTCCTCAATATTTCTCTCCTACCTTCTTCCCTCCCTTCTTCTCATCTGCTCTTTCTTCCTTCCTCCTTCCCTCTCCCTTACTTTGTTTTTCTTTTAACAAAAAATTTTTGAGTTACCCACTTTATGATGAGCTTCTGCTGAAGATACAAGTATTAAAATATGATCTTGATCCTCAGAAAACATTCTTCTTGATGGGGAGGGAGTAGAGAAGTAAACATGAAAAGAATATTGTCTAATAAGAATTATATCCAAAGTGTTGTGGGAAAATGTAGGTGGATGGAGTGAGATAGTCTGGGATGGGAAGTAGGTAGTGAAAGGAAAGGTATCCTGGAGGAGATAACTTTGAGCAAGTGGAAGAGAACCTGTTTCAAGATGTGAGGGTGGAGATAAGAAGACAAACAATGGGCATAAAGGCAAGAAGAGGCACTGAAGAAATGGCAAATAGTTCTGTTACTGGAATGTAAGGTACGTGAGGTGGGGGGTGAGTGGAGGACAAGAAGTGACTTTAGTGAGGTTGGCAGAAACTAAAGCAGAAATTGCTTTACATTTTTGTTAAGGATTTGAATTTTTCCTAAATAAGTGTGGCCACATCAAAGAATTTTTTTAATCTTTTTTTAAATTGAAGTATAGTCAGTTTACAGTGTTGCATCAGTTTCTGGTGTACAGCACAATGCTTCAGTCATACATGAATATACATACATTCATTTTCATATTCTTTTTCACTGTAACCTACTATAAGATATCGACATATAGTTCCCTGTGCTATATAGTATAAACTTGTTTATCTATTTTATATATACCCGTCAGTATCTGCAAATCTCAAACTCCCAATTCATCCCTTCCCATCTACTTCATCAAAGAATTTTAATGATCAGATTTTCCTATTACCTATATCATTCTTCTGACACGTGGAACATAGGCAGGATGGTGAGACTGAAGGTAAGGAGATCTATTAGAAAGCTATTGTTATAGTCCAGGGAAGAAATTATGAGGGTCTGATCTAAGGCAATGACAGTGCAGTAGAGAAGAGGAGATGATTGAAAGAATTTGAAAAGGTAAAATTGGCAGGACTTGTATTTAAATGGATTTGGTGAAAAAGAAAATACAAGGCCTTCATCAGTGAGGTCTTTATTGCTGTAAAGACTATTTCAAACACATATAAAGTCAAGGGAAATTCAACCAGAGGACTTCGGTCTGAACAATTGCAACCAATATGACCATTGAACTCATAAACCCATGATATACATACCATGCACTCTTTGCTATGTCACATGCTTGCTGAAGACCATGTTGGAGATTCCCTCAAGTTAACTTTTAAATTTCTCATGAAAAACCCTTTCTAAGTGACTGTTGTAAATATCACAATGTATCTTTATAGCATAGAGTCTCAGGATTATCTTTAATATACTTTTCCTTCTACAGGTAATTTGCCTTTTTTCAAACTGTCTCATAAACTATGCCTTTTAAACAGTTATTTTCATGGCAAAGACACTTGTCTAATGAGTCATGGCAGCCCGCATAATTTGGTCTACCCACAGAATTTTCCTTTTTCATCTTTTTTGCTCTTTGATCAATTAAAACTGATTAAAACAAAAGCTGAAGTGTTACTTTAGTTTCTAAGTTGCCATGTTCCCTTTAATGATTTACTTTCTTCCCTTTCTGCAAGAACATATATCCACATACGGTGGAGAAGGCTGCCACTGAAATGTTGTTAGCTATTCTTGTTGAGTCCTCGAGAGTTCCCATGCTCAGAGTGAGCAGCTGTGGTGAGCAGGAGGGGCAGGCAGGCAGGAAACATGGTGATTGGTCACAGGACTGTCTGGGGAGAAGCTAAGCCAATTGTAAGTTTTCCTTTGTATAGAAAGAATGGTGGCAGTGACTTATCACCCCCACTCTAAAACCCAAGTTATAATTGTTTAGAGAAATGGAACAATTAGCCTGAAGAGGACTATGACTTCTTGCTCATTTATTAAGGATCCAGAATTTGTACAGCCTTAGTATGGCTCTTGAACATGAGCATAGGAGAGGAAAGGCTACTGCACACTAGAATGGCTGTCGGGAAGCCCAGAGTCTAAGTCTAGGCCCTTGTTCTAAATTTTGCTGCCTTGAATCAAACATATCTTACATATAACTCTTAGCCAGCTCAGTTATCTGTCTTCTAAGTCCAGAAAGATTAGAAGCAAGCTAAAGGCAGGCATTCTGGCAGAAGCAGACAGATTTGAGAACTAACAACTTGATCGCAAGGGAAAGACCTAAAAATGGAAAGTAGGTGCATAATTGTCTCTGCATTATAACACAGTGCAAAAAAAGATAGATAATATTATGGACCACTGTTATCAAGGAAGATTAAACTATGACTTGTGTTTTTTATATGAAACACAGGAAGAGTGCCATCAAAATTTGTTAAACAGAGCTTAGGAATGCAAAAGTTTTCATTGCTCAAAGGATTAGTAACAGAAGACATATTTCCTTCTCCTATAGTTTCTGCCATTAAACCTTGCAGAGAAGTCACAAAGAGACCATGGAAGTGAGTGTCTCTCCTCTCTTTTAAGAGCTCTTTCAAAACTGCCCATCTTACTTTCTAGTTACAACCTTTCCTCCTGTCTTACCTGCTTTCCTCATATTTTTTTTCCCTGCCATTTGTATGCATCAATACTCTATATTTCTTTAGCTTCTTTGTTGGTAGTTGACTAGTTGACCTAGTCATTATGGTTTGCATGTTTGTGTCCTTCAAAAATTCATATGTTGGAATCTTAACCCCCAAAGATAGTGGTATTGGATGTGGGGCATTTGGGAGGTGCTTAAGTCATGAGAGTAGACTTTAGAGAGAGAGATATCCCTAGTCTCTTTTGCCATGTGAGGATACAATAAGAAGTCTGCAACCCTGAAACTAACCCTTACCTTACTATGCTGACACCCTGATCTTGGACTTCTAGCCTCCAGAACCATGAGAAATAAATTTCTGTTGTTTATAAGCTACCCAGTATGTAGTGTTTTGTTACAGCAGCTTGAATGGACTAATCCTTTTCCAAATGGTCAGAAAAGGTAAAGGAAATCATTACTGTTCTTCTCTTTATAATTAGTTCCAATTCTTCTTAGTATTTAATTGGTACAGAATGAATTGTCGCGAAGGCTAAAGAATGAAAAGCAAACAAAAAAATTCTCAAACATTTACAACTTTTGCATAGAAGATTAAAATACTGAGAGAAAATCAAAAAACTTTAATATCAAGTGTTATCATAATTTTCAATAACTTGGTAAACTAACTCTGCCAGAATAGATAAAGCTCCATTCTATATTAAAAAGCAACACCCACCCACCAGTTCTCATTAATTACATCACTCCACTTCTGTAGCAGGTATTTCTACAGATTTGTGGTTGAATTTTAAGTTAAAGTTAATATATCAGTTTACTCAGAAATCATAATTCTGTAGAAACAAAGGATTTGACTTAAAGTTGCAAATACACTCTTAGAAATGACTTAATCATTATGGAATGAATGTTTGTATGTGTGACCCTTGTGTTCGAAATGCCTGGAGCAGAGGGATTATGATTAATTTATATGAATATTATACCTTTATTGGGTTGAGTTCCCATTTAAAAGTCTGGGGAACATCTTGTCACTTGTCAGTCAGTCCAGGAAATTGTCATCCATATTCGGAGGTTTCACCAATGTGACAAAATATCAGAAGGAAGCCATACCAGAGAAAAGAAAGCTAAGCAAATAGTGTAGTTAGTTACTCTCAAGTGACATGCTAATGCCTTCTTCTGCAAGGTCCATCCAGGGAGGTTTCTAACCCTAATCCAGGTTTTATCACCTCAGCACTATTGGTATTTTGGACTGAAAAGTTCTTTGTATTGTGGGGACTCTCTTTTGCATTTTAGGATGTTTAGTAACATCTCTGGCTTCTACCCATAGATTCCAGCATTATCTCCTAGTGCTGACAACCAAAAATGTCTTCGTACATTGAAAAATGTTGTGTGTGTGTGTGTGTGTGTGTGTGTGAGAGAGAGAGAGAGAGAGAGAGAGAGGAAGGCAAATAAAGCTCAGATGAGAATCGCTGCCCTTACCATAATCCTACCCATTGACTTAACACTCCATTATTGCTCTTGAAACATAATATCCCAGAAAAGTTTCTACTGTCCATTGAGATAACAACAGAATACTGTTCTCTAAACCGTTCTACTTGATTGTAACTCCATTCATTACCTGGAAGATATCCTGGCTGATTCAGGCCACAGGTACCCAGGTGGGTATTTTGTGTCTTCTCACAGAATGGCACACTTACCTTGTCTCATTTTCTTTCTTCTTCTGTGGACTAAAGTCTTTTGCAACTGATCCTACACCTAGTTAGGCTTACTGAGCATGCATTCAGGTTCATCCAGATCAATCCTGGAGCATGCTTGTTAACCAGACATCATTATTAATAGAATCCAGTCAGTCTCAAAGTGTCCTGGTTTGGATGACCAATCATAGTTATCCTTTTATGCTATTCTGGAACGAAAAGATATTCCTTTTAATTTTACCAAAAAAAATAGTGAAATGGAATTCAGTTTAAAATGGAATATATGAGAAAAAACATTTTCTTCTCTCCTCCCCCATTTTTTTGTATTCTATTAACCTAAGGAGAAATTTGTGTAGAATAGAAGGGTGCTCATGAATAGACCTGGAAGTCTGAACAAATTCCAAGGCAGAAGCAGCTAAATACTTTCTAATGAATCAGAATTGGAGCTGGAAACAGGACACAACTTGCAGTAGAGAAGGTGGCCTCCATGCCATAGCCCTTCTTTCTGACACATCTCTGTAAAGTTTTTAGGCCCGCTCGAGAGCTGTTCTGCCAGGCAGAATTGGGAAAAAGAGTAATTAAGTGAAGCACCATCCATGAAACCGATAATTGAGTTACACGTCTTTCCAAATGTGAAATTTATTTTTTTGTGTGCCATTTTTCCATTCTGTGGCTATGTATTATTTTTACCTTGATGAGTGTTATATGAATGCTCTTTTATCAGATGTATAATATATTCTATTTAGAATGTATATTTAATGCAGTTAGTTATGACAATAAAATATTTTTAGTATGCAAAGAATGGAAGCTTTTAACCCATCCCATTCCCTTCAGACCCTATCTAAATCAGAGGACTGATTTCCAAAGAAACTGTACAATCATCCCAAGTCCTACAGCTTCTAATATGAATTTCGGCACTTTAGAACAAAATGTGAAATGATTGGGAACCCAACTTGCATCACTTTCTCCCCCATCCCCTCCTAGGGTTTGCTACTTGGTAACTTTCAGATTCCTGTAGAATTGTGAATTCATACTAAGCTTCTGTGCAGTATTATCATTTGTATCACTGAGGATGAAATTGATTTTTGTCTTTGGAGGGAAAAAAAAAACAAACTGTACTGCTTGTTCAAGAAGGCTGTGATTAAACTCTAAGCATTTGTTTCTTACCATGGGGAAACAGAACTCCGCAAGAAACTCATACCAGCTACATATATATTAATTTAGTTTTTTGTCCGTGAATATGAATGGCCAACGACAGACCAAAAATTATTAGGGAAAATCAGTAAGGCACAGAGCATAATACAACTGGGCAAACGAAAGAATGGCTTCAAAGAAAACAGAAAACATAAGCAAAAAATTAAAACTGTTATTAGGATCTTCAGAAAGATCTGACTAGATGTTTCAACCATAAAATAAGCTTAGGTTGCTATAGAGGATAAGTGCTTCAGGAATAAGCAAGAGATTTTGGAAATTGAAAAGCAGTTGCCCAAAGCAGTTGCAAAAAGTGAAAGGAAATAGTAAAAGATAAAGTCTGTTAAATACGTCAGAATATTGAACAAATAAGATATAAAAGTTAAATATGGAGAATCTGTTCAAGACAGTGAACATCTATTAGAAGTTCAAGAAAGAGTGAACAGAGAAAATGGAAGAATGAAAATGGTCAAAGATGTAATAGAGGAAAATTATCCAGAGTTGAAAAAAGACAAATACCCAAAATTTGAAAAAGGCCACAGAGTGCTAAATTGGATAAATGAGAAAAGCCCCACCTGGACTTATCCTAGTGAAATTTCAGAAACGTAAAGACTAAAAGAATACACAGAGAAAGAGCATACCATTCACTTCTATAGTAAATAATATTGTTAAAATCATGACATTGTAAATGCTGCTTATTGTTTTTCAGCTTTAATGAATCACCCATAGATAAAGCTTTAAAGACAAAGCTATAGATATGCAACAATAAAATGCAAATATCATTAGGGCACCTATATGAATCCACATGTGCACAGTCTAACTCTAAGAGACACCAGCCTCAAAGGAGGCAAAAGAACAGTAGCACTGACTGCTAAAAACCTTACTGATGAAAAGTAAAGATGCTACAAAGGATGGAGAGAGAAAGAGCAATGGAGGTGGAGGTAGTGTTGAGACAACATGCAGGGCCTAGGGTTGAAATAAGAAATAGAGGTTTAGCATATTATTTAACAGTTAAATTATAGAAAGGCTAAAAGATTGTGTGTGTGTGTGTGTCTGTGTGTGTCTGTGTGTGTCTGTGTGCTCGTGTGTGCACATAAAACAAAACTCAAGAAAAAGGACAGAAGGGGGACAGCATGTTTGCTGAATACCTTCTGTTGGGAGTCCAAAGATACTACCTAAACTTGATTAGCCAGAACATGGAAGTGTAAACATTATCGGTCAGAGTGTAGGACAAAGAGGAAACCACCAGAAGTAAAAACAGAAACTCTAGAAAGTGGGATAAGTGGCAGCAGGTAGGACAGGAAATGTAACTTTTAATATAATTTGAATTTGTTCTACATATGTATGCTGTTAAATTAATTAAACAAAGAGACCATTGCACCTGAGGTGGCTCTAATGCCATGGCAACCTACATAAACAAACCAAAATCTAAGCCCATAAATTTCTTGAGGTGATGAATTCAAAATACTAGGCCAACCAATCACAAACAGCGGACTAGGCTTTAAGTTATAGCCAATCAATAATTTCCTTTCTTTTGCCACCTAAAACTTGTCATTTACCATCTGGCACTATAAGAATGAAGCTACCAGCCACTATAGTTGCTGACCTCAACATACCCTGAAAGGAGTACAGGGTGGAGATCAGGAACGAGGCACAATGTACTATGGGAAAACTGGTAGAACAGGCCTTCAGATAGTTAGATATTTTCAGAAGAATTTATGAGCTTAATTTTGTGCATCTTGTCATAGCTCTGAGGAACTACCCTCTCAGGCTATGGTCCTCATATTGCCCCCAATAAAACCTAACTCCCAACTCTCCCATTGTGCTCCCCACCCCAACCCCCAGAGAGGACACTTTGCTTCTGCACTTTCTCTATGTAAGTCATTCCCCTGGGCCCTGTCTGCCGGAGTGCTCCTAATCGCTTCTGGTTTGGTGCTGCCCCTTTGGAATCCATTTTTGCTCAAATAAACCCTTAAAATGTTTAATATGTCTCAAATTGTCTTTGGCAATATATTATTTGGTGGTGGTAATAATAATAATAATAATAATAATAATAATAATAATAATAATAATAATAGTAATAATGTCAATCTGATTTTTTTCACAGCATTATTATATACATACTCAGTTGCCAGCAACTTTGTAGAGGGGCATATGCAAATTGTACAAAAATCAAACAGACCCTAAATCACTTCACTTCAAATGTGCTATGACTCATGTTTTCTTAGACCTTGATGAAGTTGAGGCATGGGGTGCTATTTTTATATTATAATTTTGTGGGTAAATTACCAATAGATCTTATTTCTTATGGGGTATGAAGCTCTCTTTTTTCCCTTTGGATATTGATGAATTTATTTATTTCAGATATAAGTTACTACTTAGCACTCCAAGATCTTTATTATGTATTGATTCCTCAAATATAAACCATATACATTTTATTTGAGCCTCGGAATTCTATGACAATTCAGTGCAGGTGTTATGATCTCCATTTTACCCATAAAGTTGAACAAGGTTAAGAAGCTTGTCTTAGGTCACTGAGAGGGGGAAAGAGCCAGCACTCGAACTGTCTTCCTTCTCCTATCCTACGTAGTTTCTTAAGGAGTAGGGAAGATTGAATAATATTAAAACACACATTTTTTAAAATGTCAAAAACACATTACCATGGAGGAAGAAAGAGCTACCAAAAACAGGAAATCCTTGTGAATGCCTCAGCTGTAATCTTCCTCACCCTGAACTCTTTTTCAAATTGAACAATATGGTATTTAAACATGTGTCCTGTAGAAAAAGCTATTGAAAGACACTGTAAAAGTGAAGAGAATTAAGTTAGAGGAAGAAAAACAAAAAGTGGTCCTTAAAATCTATAATTTCATCTACTTTCTGTGCCAATCAGAGTACTTTCCTATGTCCTAGGAAGCATCTTCTGACTTAAAGTTAAAAGTTGGTTGTATGGAGACTTTAAAAAACAGTACTCACCTGCACCTCCCACATTCATTAGCCTTTTCTTCCTATGCTGTGTCTGTGCAAAAATAGGGATGGGGCAGGGGGTAGGAGGCATAGGAAAAGTGGGAGCGTGTTGAATAGGAAATGTAACTTATCTTTCACACCATTTGAATTTGTTTAACATATACATGCATGGAGAGAGGTTATTAAACCATAGGTTAGAAAGTGCAGACCACTGATGGATCCTTTCCATAATGCTGTCTGATTCCTTTAAAATTAAAATCTTACTAAAATACCACAAATCTAATCAGGAATTCCGGAGAATATTCTGCTTTTGTTTTTCTCTTAGAGATTTGAAGCTCTGCCTCATTAACACAGAACCCTTGACTTAAACTGAACATAAAAAATTTTAAAGCAATTCCAGTTGCAGGACATTCTTTTTTTTCTGTGTGAATGTTTGATGAGCTTTGTCCAAATTCTGGCTCTTCCCACATTGACTCAGTTTCTGTTCACTAGAACAAGGTGACCTGCCAAGCTAGAAAGGACAAAGTCCAGTGACTCACAGAAATGCTTTTTCTTTTACTTCTAAATAAGTTAAGTGCAAAGGCCATCGACAAGAGAGATTTTAACAATTTTGTTATCAGTGTGTAGTGAGGCAGTCCCTTTTCCTTCCTCCCTTTTACCCACTCACCCCCAATCATAAAACCCTTACCCAAGAGAAACATTCTACAAAACTGCTAAAGATATACTTGTTGGTTTGAAATTAATTCTTGGAATTACTTTGGATTTAGAGTGCTTAACCAAATTGTCACTGAAATATACTCTTTTTTCTTGACAAGTACCATTGAAGACAATGTAAAATGATTCTTATATGGTTACCTAGCCATAGAGAATTTAAGTGTAATTTAACTTAGAACTTTCACTGACTATTTTAATCTCAATGACATAAATAGATGTATTGGGATCGGGAAATACTTCACATCACTGGTGTTTTGTTGGCCCGATGAGGTATGTATAATCAGGAGTTATATAACTTCCATTGCATCCACATTTATCAAATACAAGTGAAAATAATTGGCTTATTTCTTCCATAGATTTTCCTGTGCGAAGAAAATGGACAATCAGTAGTGCTGTAATGCAACAGCACAATTCTATTATTTTCAAAAGTTTGGAGTGAGATTAATAATACTATTTTAAAAGATCTGAATGTGTCCTTAATAAAGGCCAGGAGAGCAGAAATTTAAGAAAAGTGGAGAGAAAAAATAGTCTTATATTTTTCTGTATCAAATATTTCAGTGTGAAGGTCACTATCTTTCAGATGTTTTCTTCCCTGAATTGGTATTGATGGCAGAGATTCCAAGATTTTCATAGCCAATTAATATTGACATTTCATTTATTTTTTAAAAGGTTGAAAGTGATTAATGAAATATATTATCATTTTCTTCTTCCTTTAGTAACTATTTTCTCAGCACTATGTATTACTTAGACGATGCTGGAACCTCCCACTGGGCAGAATTTTGAACACTACAGATCGAGGCCTTTTCAAAATGAGGTGCATGTGTCTTTCACATAGAAAGAGCTGATTATCAGGAACTGTGAAGGCTCTGAGGTGTTACTTCCATGCTAACAAGTTGGCCTGCCACAGTTCCATGATGCTGGCAGAAGACACAAGACTCTGAATCAGAGATAAAGAACATTGTTCTGGTATAGCAGGCAGCATGAGATTCATGTTTGCATTGATTCTCCTTTTCCTGAAATTCTCATGGGTTTAACATGAAAAGGCCCAGATGGATGTTGTTTATGCAGTGTTTTTCTCTTTGTAGTCCCATTTTCTTCATTCTGCAGAATATACTACACAATGAACTTTATAAACATTTTCATATTTTCTTCAAATCTTTCTTCTCTCTGATCATATGACTTGAGATAAAGACATGAGGCATATTAGCACTCATATTTCTTCTTTTATCTCTTTAAATAATGGACCCTAGATTCATTTTATGTTCTCCTGTATCAGTGTAAGTTATAATAGAGGAAACAAGATCTGAGAGCAGATGGAGAAGACAAACTTTAGGGTACAGTTACAGAAGTAGGAGTCTTGGAAATAGGAAAGATCCCAATTACATTTTTAGTCTCTCTCTCTCTCTTTTTTTTTTTTGATATTGGCTTTCAACCTCTGTCTATAAACACACACACACACATACACATGTTTATTGTTTTTCTGTTGTCTTATTGAGTGTACTTGATAGCAAGTATAGCAGGAATTAAATGTAATCTCTATAACCAGTATGTGCAAAATATTTTTTAACTTCCCTTATTTTATTTAATGGAGTTCATCTTGTTCACAAGATTCAATTCCAGATAAAGTTTCAATTTTAGCTAAACCTTTTCAGGTAAAGATACCTCAGTCTCTTGTGAGGAAATACTCTCATTTAGAAACCAATTTTGGCAAATCTCTGCCCTCTTTGTCCTTTTTCCCAATGTGCAAGTGGAGGTTGCATCCATCTTCACATGGCAGATTTGGGTCCACTGTTTTTGCATATTTTTGATGTTCTTTGCTACAGAGGGATTGGTCTGGCCCCCTAGGGTTCTGTGCTGGTGTCCTAGGCAGTGTGGCTGGTTCTCCCTGAACTTGTTGCATATTTTGCTGGTATTAACTTCTGATGTCTTGGTTCCTGCCAGTTGCCTTAAGTTGTGGAGTTCCTGTAGTATGTGGTTGCCTTTTCCCAATACAGAGTCCTTTCTAGATCTTTGTGGCATGTCTACATTTCCCCACTGGCCACATAGGAGCTGCTGGGTCTCTGGCATGCCATGCATAAGCTGAGGGAGGGTTAGGGCACGCTCTTATGTGTGTTATCAGGTGTTGAATGTCTCCCTCTGCAATTGCTGCTGTATAGCTATTTGGCCTATTGACAGAGAAACAGAGCATCAAGCTCTCAGTTAACCAATTTCAGCTTTCTATGGACATTTTGAGTTTTCTTGCTCCATCCCTTTGGCTGAGGCACAAGGATGGCCAGTGTTGCTGTTCTGGTTCTGACAAAGGAACCAGGCATGTCATCAGCTTAACTGCATCCCCTCTGAGACATGTGCCTTCCTTTCATGGCAAAAGGCTTTCTTCCTCTTCCCTCTTCATACTGAGAATATCCCTTTCATAATATCCTTTGCCATCTCTCTAAGATTTTAATAAAATTCTAGGATCAAAATCCACTAAGCCTATATCCTTAAATGGGAATTGGAGTTTAGGGGATTTAGAAAATGTTATCCCTTTAAACAATGCCTCAGTTTCAAGAATATCACTAGGGATTCAAAAAAGTCTATTTTTGGAAATCAAAAGCTGAACATGGACACCTTTTCATCTTGCATTCCTGTTTCAGTTCCAAGCCTCCCAGAGATAACGGCTAAAATTCCACTAGCTGAACAGGGGAAGACATCATATACAGGAAATGTGAGAAAGAAAAGCACATAGTTTTGAAAATTTATATTTTGAAACATTTCCATAAAACTGGCTCTGGCTAACTTAATCAAAGGAAACATTTTTGGAGACCTGTTGAGGTCCCAGAAAACCAGAGGGAGGCTGAGGGATAAGTATGGGAGTAGGCTGGATCCTAGGGTGACACAGAGTACCAAGGTGTGTAAAGCATGACAGTGTGGATAGGATGTCACTATTTAAGATTCAGAGGCCAAGCAGAGAGCTGAGCTTGGGTGGGCGTCTACTCTCTGAACTTTCCTAGCGGTGGGGAGAGGTGGCATCTGTCAGCTGCAGCTTCCATGGTGAGTTGCATGCACCTGGATTACCCTATCACCAACAGAAAAATTGTTGGTGGTAGTTTCTGGAGGCTGGTCAACCTCCAGAGAGGAAATTAAGGTGCTGTTAGGAAGCCATTCACAGGAAACTCTAAATGGCAAATATATATAGCACCTAAA